CCTTTTTCTCTGCTGCGTATGCGTCAATTATCGACATTTTTGAAGAGAATGGACTGCAGTTTGAGAAGATTGGAAGAGCAAAGTAAGAAATTTCCTTAGATCCCATATTAATGTCACAAATAACCGCCTAAAATTTTCATAGGTTGATGGACGAAGACAAGATGTGCAAATGGCAGAATGTAAGCCTTGCTTCCTATGCGAATGCATTGACAATGAACGAGGATGCCGAGGAAGTAGATCTGGTCATGCTGAAGGCATATTTGCAGCGGGCTTTTAACGAAATCTGCCGCGAGTTCAACTTAACGAATGGTATCGAATTTGGAAATTTCTTGAACATATAGGAAATGTTTTGAAAAACCAATAAAATTTGATGAGAATTTTCAGAGAGCACTTCTTCACAAAGTGAACTTGCAATCATCAATGCTAGGTAAGTTTGCCATTTAAAAACTCTGTTTTCATATAAGATCAATTCAATACACATTTTTTATCAATGTTTAGACCCTCGAAGTACCTCAATGGAATTCGCCTGAAATGGAATGTCCGAAAATTTAGAAATGATCTCACCAACCTTTTTCTCTATAATAAAATCGACGTTCCATTTTACAGTACATTCGAGAAGGTTTGGGTTCTCTCATTTCTCTAAATTTCTTCATATAAAATTGCTCAACATAGGAATTATTCGACGATGAAGTGGACATCGATGAATTCGCACAAACAACCGCAGTTTTTCCAAAACGTTGTGAGGCAGAGGACATGATAGTGGAAGCTCAATATTGTCCGATTTATGATAAATCAACGATGGAAGGAGATGTTTATGCGGTTAGTGCTAATTGTCGTTAATGCAAATAATCAGATAAAATTGATTTTAAAGCTGAAGTTTGTTAGGAAAAGCTTGTCAGGAATAAGCATATTATTTTTGAAGCAATGAACAGCCATAAAGTAGCCATTTTTGGAATCATTTAATGTTATTCCCGTTAAATTTCAGTCATCCTGATACAGAACCGGAGCTCAGAGGTGGTAAACAGTTTTTATGACCACTGCTGACTACTCCAAGCTTTTGCACTCTGTAGATATCGATTACTTCTATAGTAAAGAAATATATTAATAATTACAAAAATTTTATTGAATTAGGATGCCAATACTGATAATTAGGAATAAATTTATGGAGCTGATCATAGAGGAGCATAGAGGAGCAGCTGGCAGTAAGAGCAGCCTTTCTTGCAGTTGTTTTTCAAGTAAACTTATACCGTAGAGTAAGTAAAATTTCGGAATAGAATTTAAGAAAGAAGTAATTTCTAAACAGGTAACCTAAAATATCAATTTTATCAATAATGTGGATTTAGAATGATTTGAAAATATAACAATCACTTCAACGTAACGCTAGTTTTTCAAATTCAGATAAGTCACACCGGTCAGATGATGGAGAAAAGCAAGGTTTTTCTGCTCTATGACGTCCCTAATTATGTGCTAGTAAATGGAGAGGATGTAATTCCTATCGAGTTTGACTCCTGCAAAGCAATGGTAAAACAATCTTTAACGTAAAGTTGAGAATGTCCATTATTACGTTGTTTCAGAATGGAACCTCGTTTCTGTGCACTGAAAAAGCTAAAAGTCACTGCGATGTTACTGCAATAAATTCATGTAACATTTATGCGGAGTCCACCGCTTCCAACTTTTATCGGGCCCGCTCTTATGGTAACGCAGTAATTGTTGCCACTAATCTGCCGGTAAGGACTAACATTATTTCTTGGAGCATTTTAGCTGATTATCTAATTTTAGGAAGTGAAGATTGATGGAGTTGCTATCAATGTAGTTAGTCCAGTATTTACCTATCACACATCGCAATACATCGAGAAGGATGAGGATGATCAGCCATTGATAATGCAGTCTTCAAGAACATCCCCTGCTACAATGAAGGTAGTTAATCTTGAT